TTCTAAATTTTTTTGCGATTTTGTAAGACTTTACAGTACTTTCACAACAGCTTTGGTTCGGTTTATTGCAAACCCAAGTTTGTTATCCTTCAGTTCCTTCAGTGAACAAGGTCGTAACAAGAGTCTGCCTTGTCCTGAACTTGTTTGGTCTTCAATTTATCTTTAAATGTTTACTCCTTTGGCAGAATTATTCATTAACTCATTATTATCATCGGTTACACGTCATATTGTTCATGCACACAATAGTCAGAGTAACTTAATCGATAATTTCCTTTTCTGTCGAAAGGTTATTTGTGTGAATTTTGACTGGGTCACTTTCTTAGGCTCCCCTCATTCTTCTGGGGTTGTATTATTACTGGAATAGGATAGTAAAAATGCTGTTTTTCAACAGACAGTGAATAAACGTGATTTATGATAATGCAGTAGTTATGGCTATGAATGGTAAATGCGCATTATCAAGCCAATCTCAAATTGTGCGAATCAGAAGCTACCAACAGCAAAAAACTGGCGAGAATTAAACATTAGATCTAGTCACCTGCTTCTTTACACCATTAGAATCGCTGAAAGAATGAGATCAAGTAACTTGGGAGAAGAAACCAAAGGTAGGGCTCTGAACCTGTTATAAAGTTGTAGATATTTGCTTTCGAAGGTAAGACATTAGTCATTGATGTCTTGAGTTAGATTAGTAGGGATGGGACAGCGGGATATGGTGTACTTTGCACTTTAGATGCTGGATTCGTGTCCCATTCGCGGCTTAAAGTTTTCTTATGAAAACTGCCATTTTTTCAGCAGGGAACACGCTGCACTGTGCTTCGATGCAGTATATTGAAAAATGGTAACCAGAACTTGATCTGCGAACAATAAGGACCGTATGATATTTTGGTGTAATCGTGCTAGAGCATGTGCAACATGCGGCTATGCTGTCTTATCTGTGCGCTTTAATACTTTGGTGAATCTTGACCCACCTGATGGCAAAATAATAACCGGACGAACATTTCACCTGTAAATAAATCAATTAAAAAAGTCAGAAAGAGTGCTTCACATGCATTTTATCTTACAAATGTTAGCGAACGACATCGCAGCAGTTATAGCGGTTTTTCTTCCTGTTTGTTCGTACGCTCATGAGTTCTTTGATCTCTGATCATTCTAGCATCAATATTTCCGCCGCCTAAGAGTGAAATGCGGATATCGATTTTATAATGTAAAAATCATCGAGTTGCCTTCCTCTAAAAACTACACAGTTAAATTTGTTATGAGCATTCATATTGGTTCATTCATAATATGCGATTCAATTTTGTTTTGCCCTATTTTTCATTGCTCATATATTTTTCAGTTTATGATAGCCCTGTATATCCTGATTGCGGTTGGCGCCGTGTTGATGGCCGTTGGTTTTCTCGGATGTTGTGGAGCTTGCTGCGAAAATACTTGCCTTCTTGGAATGGTGAGTTTTCGTCATTTTTCGCATGCCCGCATGCATATTTTTCAAATGCAATTGTTTTGCTCCTCTTTATGTTTATATTGTATTGATTAGCGAATTTTCATGTTTAGTTTTTTACGTTCGTCCTTATATGTTTCATAATCGAGGTGGCTGCTGCTATTTACATTCTGGTCAATAAAACGAAGGTAAGGTGCAATGCGTGTGTAACTTCGATGTGTGTAATTTTGCTTTTGTTTCTTTTTCAGT